CCAAATAAGATGTTTACCAAGCCGCTTGTGAAACAAGGCTTTTGCAAATAATCATATCTAAACCTTCCTCGCGGGTCACACGTACATTGAAATGAAATTTCCCTACTGATAAAAATTTTTGAACCAAATTTGAGTGATAAAGAAATTTTATAGTTCAAATTCAAAAGCTGTATTTTAAATGAAACTGCTAGAAAGAAAGAAAACCTCCGACAAAAAATCCTCTCCATATCGTATTATTAAATGATTACGCAAATCCGCATTTTAAAATACAAAAGCTTTTAATTTTAAAAAATTGTGAAAAAAGTATGGCTAAGGCTCATGCGAAATCTCTGCTGATATACAAGGATTACGGTATTGGCAAATTATGATAAAACTTCAAAAGGCGGTGGGTTAGCGTAAAATATTCCATAACTATTCCTCCTAGAAGCACGGGGAAGTATTCCCCAGAGTGGTTTACTCAACACCATGTTTATTTTTACACCAACCTTAGAACCATATCTATCCTTAATTTGGGGATTTAGGTCCGGACATAGTAATCCCCCTTTAAACCCCCTCAAATCCCATACACAAAGATATTTTCAAATGGGGGTTTGGTGGTTCCTTAAAATGCATTTTATCTCCCTCCTCACAACTCAAAACTTCAGAGCCCAGAGGTTTATTGGAAATCGGTCTAAGATGTCCTGGATTTCCCTGTGCCTTTTTGAGGGTCAACAATATTTTGAAAAGGCCTTTTTCAGTTTCTTTTGATTATTTTTTTTACCAATTTCAAAAATAGGTTTTTATCTTGATTGAGATTTTGTAATTTTTTTTTTTCAAGAAGAGAGTAAAAGCATGAGATTTCAACTTGGGAGGTATCAAAAAATGTTATCAGAGTACCAGCTTTATTCCTCCATAATAATTGAAAGCACGGCAAAAAGAATCTTGAATTATGCTATTAAAATTTGGCAAAAGTAGAGAATAAGTACTTTATAATCAAAATAACTCCATTATTCCAAGTGTTCGAAAGCACTTGAGGAAATGACAATTTTTTTAACTTTCAAGGTTGGCTCATTCAACGCACAATCAAGTTTAAAGTTCACTTCAATAGTTTTGAAATAAAATGCTTAATTACAGTTAAAACTATGATCATCGCCCAATCATCGCTTGGCCATTTTTTTTGTGAATTTGAAACCTTAATGTTATGATGGTTTCGTTTACACAAGAAGAAGAATGGAAGGTAAATATTCGGCAGCCGATCAGATAAAATACACTTTGCAGTAGATTTGATTCAAACAAAGAATCGTCACATAATGGAGGACCGAGTGGGATGGGCTGTGTCACTAATACAGAGGGTCTCCAATTTATGAACCTATTCATAACACAGTCTTCCTAATCATACAACATCTAATAACTGTACACCCAGGCTATTCAAACCCACAACAGACTGAATGAGCAACAATTGACCTGAATCATACAAGATTATACCACCTGAACGCTCATTTATTCTTTGGCTATCATAATTATCCCTTTAAATAATCACAGATTTCTTGTGTTATAATAGACAAGCCAGTGATATCCTTTAAACAGCTCAAAATCCAACACAAACATTTCTTTTTTAAAAACCTGTCTTTCATTTCTAACATTTGGTTAGAAATCTTGAAGTTTTCTTCTCTGCCATATAAAAAGCACAGAGGAGAGAGAAATGCAGTGTACATGATTCTTAAGAATGCATAATCATAATGATTTTTTTTTTACTCTAAATTTGGTTATTGGTTCAGATGCCATTCCTAATGCAGTCTTGTAGCTATACATTTCCGCTGAACCATTCCAATTTTTATAGATTTTACATTTATACACAAAGCAGAATTGCTTTCCAACTGAACAAGACATTGCAAAGGCATAAGGACCGCACTATACATGGGAGAAATATCTGGTCTAGCGGAAAACATTCCCAACTAACACAATCAGCCTCAGCTCGCAGACCGCCGCAATCATTAGAAAAAGTGTGTATTGGATTCTGAACTTAACTGATGGTGGAAAATTTGTCTCACAATGGCCCCCTTTCTTTGCGCTGGTGCAAAAATTATAGTCCCCACATGTTCCATTTTTAAAATTATTGATGCCAAAATAACTTTCAACTTCAAAAAATTAACAAAAAGAAGGAAAACACTTATAACAATTAAGCAATGTAAAATTAATATGAAGCACTCTTTTATTATTTTCTTTGCAACTTTGAAAGACCATGTGACTGCACAAGTCTCGCATAATCAAGTTCAATAAATCTCATCAAACAGAATAACCAAATGGAAAGGAGAAAATTTAATTACTAGAGTCTAATGAAATCTAGATGAAAATCACACTCCTATTTAAAAATGGTCATCAAGCGAAAAACCCAGGCTACTTAGCATATTCAACAATAGCTCGAGATGATGAAAATCACAATGCATTTCTTCACACTTTCTGATCAAGGACTAAACTTGACAAAAAAATTGGTAACATTTCTCTTTTCCTCTCTCTCCCCAAAAGCCGATGCAATTTATTTATTTTTCAAACAATTTAACTTCAAGGAAGACAAAAACCTTAAAGAAAATTAAGAAAACCAAATAAACAGCATACCAATTAAAAACACAAATAAACTAAGGTGAGCCTAAATACCCTGTTAGATTGGTTAGATTTTCATTTGAGGAGGCCACAGAAATTTCCAAGGACTCTCAGTGCTTCAACTGGACACTTACAGTAATTTAACATGAAAGTAGCTGTTTCACTTTTCTTTTCTGTAAATCTTCACCTCTGAGTAATTTTCTGCTAAGAGAAAAGTTCTTCTTTGTGTACCTATAGCAACTGTCTTGTTAACATTCATTCAAACACTGGAGAAAATCCTTAAAAGAAGGGGGGGGGGGGGGTAATTTGTCTAAAATCAACATCTGCTGGTCTTCTCTAAAAGGGAAGAAAAATTTCATTTTCATGTAGGAATTGTGGATAAATATTAGGTTCAACCAGTGTCAAAGGTAAAGTGGCCATTTGTCTTGACTGAAATCTCTATCTCACCCTTTTCTAAATTTACTCAACTTCAAAAGAGCTTCAATTAGTTTTCACAGCACTCATCATCAGAGAACCTGGTAGATGTTTTGGGGGGAGTTATTTGTCATGATTTGATAATGAGCAATCAAAAGTAGACTTGATGCCCCATGCCCCAGCATTAGGCATCCCCTCTCCTGATTTCTATGTATTACAGCCATTAAAATTCGTGTGATATCATACCCTAATCATAATAACTATTACTGGGCCTCCAGCGTGATTAGCAAGCTTTGCCAGCATTCCCATTTTTCATCTTTAATCCCAAAGAAGATAGGAGCTATCAAGTCAAGATTGGAAAAGATGTGGTTCCTATTACACCGCCAACCTACCACCCAAGTACCTAACATTTCACATTTATTAAACACCAATTTTCTCCGTGGAACCCTCAAACAGAATTCCGTTATCTCCACACTCAGCCTCTCTCTGTGTCTTTGGAGAAGACCTCTTGAAGCATCGTGGGGCTTCCCTTTACAAGCCCCTCTTAATTCAGAGTCTTTAGCACCGAAAATTGCTGAAAGCTGGAAAATGTATTTTATATTGATATCTTAGTGGTGTTTGATATTGTCAGCACAAGTTTCTTTGATTACTTTTATTTCCAAATTCTTCACTTTGCAAACACTCTAGGCATGGCATTTAGGAGATTTCGAGAAGTATTTAATAGCTAACTGACTTGCACCAAAAGTCTTCCCGATTTTTACAACTTTTTTTCCGCAGTGAATGGTCTCTCTCTTGCATCTCGAGCAAACAGCTGCGACTAACTTTTGACTCTAATGGAACCTTCTCACAATAATGTCATTATAACTCGAGCATATTGTAATCATTAAATTCTAGGTACTCACTATAATAACACTACTCCGAATTTAACGAGCATTTAAATGTTCAGTCAAAATATTGAATAAACAGAAAACCAGCTGACTTTTCAGGGGGTCTGCGTAACCTTCCTATATTAGGAGTTGCTATCACAGAGTGAACAACCTTTCAGATTCTCGTAAAAAGAACCTGAATTACCATACAAATAGTTTAAGAAAATACTGAAATCATGAATCTCCTTCTAGACCAAGAGTTCAAACATGACAGTCCAGTCTTCTATAAACACCACTGACACGACTTTACCGAGCTTACAACTCTAAGAAAAAATTGACCAAAAAAGATGGAAAAGTTTTTTCAAGTGACCACCATTGTCTGTCTCTGATAGCTATGTCTACCTATATGCAATAATAAAGTCCATTCTATCTACATATCTCTAATGGTTGTAAGCTTTAGATTGACTTGTAAACACACAACACCTACACTCTTCACTCTATGCCTGACCTGATCACTAAGTATTAGCCTAGCCAGCCTAAGACAATGTGTACACATCAATTTCTGTAGGGCATTGACTGAAACAGATACACATGCATGTGTAAACCAGCCAGAAAGTCAGTACAAAGGGACATTTGGGGCATTGTAATACAGCAATACACACCCAAAATCTATCCAACAACATAGTGTTGCATATATGTGACCAAAACACTTGTATGTCAGACCTTGTAGTGTTTTCCCTAAGAACCAGTTACCAGCCAAACTGACCACTAAAAAAATGCTGCTTAAAAATCTAAAATTCAAAAATAATTTTAGTGAGGTCCACAGAGTTTTTGTTCGTAAACCTAAACCCCTGTTAGTACTATTGACCTCTAAGCCTTTACTTTGAAATAAAAGGAAACCAATAAAATAACATATTAGGGTACCTACTGGCAGCATAACAACTGTATGCAGCATTAAATGCATAACCACTTTATGCAGCATTGACAGAATAACCATTGTATGCAATATATGTATAACAACTGCATACAGCATTGACAGTATATCCACTGTATGCAGCATAACCACTGTATGTGGCCTTTTCAGCATAACCACTGTATACAGCATAACCACTGTATGCAGCATTGGAAGCATAAACTTACCTGATTCACTGATGTTGTCTGCATTGTGAGATGAATTTGATGTTGCGTTTGATTGACTAGGTGTGATGGGCGTGTCCCCGGACCGGGAGGACTGTGTGTCTTCCTGTGGCCCAAAGGTCAGGCTCTGGGAGGGGGGACGCTGAAAAAGGTCAAAGGTCAATTGTACAAGTCATACTATGATCTATGTTTCATAGAGACAATAGAATATAGTCCATGTAAACAAAAATAATTGTCAAATTGCATTTATTAATTACAATATAAATATGAATATTTCTTCACTTCAAAATATATATATTAAGCATTTTCTGTGGATTTTCACTATTAATTCAAATAGTATTTTTTATAACTATATAAAAACACCTCAGATCTATTACATGTATATGATACAGTAATTGATTTTACAAAGAATTGTTACAATACATGTATATATTATTTAAAATGTTAACCACCTAATTTCTGAGCTGTGATCATCTGATCAATCCTGCTAATCATTAAATACTACTTAAATAATGATATCTTCCATAACTAGCTTATGAAATCTAGTTCTCATCTAATAAATCAATTTTTTCTGCATTTTTTTAGTTTGTTTTTTCTATGAAACAAAACACAATTAATTCACAATCCTTCAAATATTACAGTAACATACGGCACATGTTCAATTTAGACAGGTGTTCTCTAACATTTAATTGTCACCACCAACTCAGAATTTCGCACATTCAGTGCATCAAAGTGAAGAAACATGGACGGGTATTTTTCAATGAAACTGCGACTCATCATGAATTTTTTACTGTGCAGTAACACTGTAGCTAATTATGCATGGCCGATCCACTGATAACATTTTCAATAGTTAATGATTATCCATGACGAGTCAGAATTATAGACAGGGGGAAAAATACGGGGAGTACTTAACACCGTTGTCAGTTTCTACACAAAATTTCACTTAATATTTATTAATATTTTGCATTTATACAATTTTACATAATAATTTATGCAAAATTTATTTTTTCATGGATACTCTATCTTTAAAAAAGAGAAAAAGTGTGATACTTTTGTCTTCCTTGGTGTATTTATACCCCTCGTTTTTTATTTTCTGACATTTTAGTTTGTTTTGTGTTTGTATGTGCCATTCACATGAGTTTGTACGAAATGTAAGCATGTATTTAATTAACCCTATGTACCAAGATTTTTTTGCTTGGGTGCATGAATATATTAAACTTTGAAACATTTTCTTAAATATATAAGCAAGTTACACACTAGTACTAATCTAATTAAACAATTTTATCATTTTCATTACTAATTTTGATGTCCAAACAATCCATTTTTCATTGCATGACCAAAAACATTACTAAATTTGAGGATGGTGACGATTTTCATACTTTCCTCCTCTGAATAAATAAGGAAGTACTTTTACCTAACTGTACACTCAGTATGCACCAATTACAACCAATAATGTATGGTACCTTTACAAATCCATTCTCACCGCAGGTTATTATGTCAACTTACGAAGACACAAAACTTCTGACACACACTTGGTTATTTAATGTAATGGATACTACTTTAAAAGTTCACCTAGCAGTTGTCTCTTTTGACTGTGAAAAGGTAGGCTTGTCAACAAGTTAAGACTTTGACTGACTTGGTTAAAGTGTTCATACATTGAAGGAAATGACTTGGAAATCTGGCCTTTCACAGTTGATTTATTTGAAAGAAAATGTATTCTGCTGTAACCAATACCTTAAACTAGGAGAGAGGGGGACATTAAATGTTTTAAAACACACAGGTCAACCTATAGAAAAACTTCTCCACATAAAAACCTTTGTTTACATGACATTGCAGATTGGGTTTATAGATTACGAATTAGTGGTCTGTAAATATTAGACCATTATCTTCTGTTGCACTTACAAGCACTTCTTTTACAGATTATATTACATATTATTGAAATTCAGAAATGCCTAGCATTCTCTATCCAAGAATTACTGTAATATACTTTTAATGTTCCACATCAAAATCCCTCCTTTAGGTCCAGGTTCAAAAAACACTTAAGGATATCTTATATTTGTGACTGCATGAAGAAGGGGGAAAAATGATGTCTGGCTGCAGAATTGATTATTTTTGCTTTGTCTTCCAGTATGAAAAAAGGAAATGCAGGACAAGAAACTGGCAAAAGAATATCATCAATAATTAACGATTAATGTCAATAAAATGAGAAAAACAGTGATATTAAGTCAGATAGTCTCACTGCTTAAAATCTCCACTTTCTGTCATAATTCAGAAAAAAAAAGATACCATGGAGCATAGTCAGATAGTGATAACACATTACTGGGATAAAAAAAAAATTCCCCTTATAGTTATGTTTTTTTCACAACGTACCATCTCAGAGATGCAACTGTAACCCCCTCCCCCTCCTTTCCCCTATAACGGCTATGTGAATGTATTAACATACAGAAATAGTACGATCAGGTAAACTGGTTAAAAATCAGGAGCCATACAACCCTCGGATATTTATAGAGGCAGGTGGACAGACTAATATAGTGATGATTTTGTGATGGTGTGGATTTACTGCTGATGATATGAAAAATGTTCACCTTGAAATAAGAGATTTTCTATGACAGCCACCCAATGACATCAATGGTAGCCAACTTTTTAAAGTCCCGGGTGATAGATTTTGGCTGATTTTTATCTGACGCATACCTGTCTGTTTATGTCACATGGCTTTACCCTAGCATTGTCTGCTTGATTAGGCAAACAACTATATGTCTAAAACACTGTGACTCTAGATGAGCCGATATTCTTCTTCTGTCATCATATCAAGATTGGCAAAAAGACAAATATATCAAGCAAAAGATCCCCCAGATTATCATCTTAACAATTCCTTCTCATTGTTTAACTGTACTTCTCATTATCTTTTGATATCTTTTTTATACGCAGATGAATATCACTAATCTTTGCTTATCATCCTCAAACATATTCAAGTAATGCATGCTGTAAGCATAATTTCGTCAAAGGACTCAACGTTATCTACAATAATATTTAAAACTGTATAATGTATCCATTGAGATGAGTCGACTAATAGATAAACCCCCTATATATGTAACCCCAATTTGGTCATTAAAAAAAGAGCTGTCTGAAATACAAAATGTCAAAATATAAATGCTCGATGTTACATTGGGGAAAATTTATGATTATCACAGCTAAAAGTGATATTAAAACCCTGTTTCTCTCATCAGAAAGTGGGGAATGGGCCAGTGGGGATTCTCTGTAGAGGCAATATTGACAGAAGAATGCCCAGGACAATAGTTTTATCAATACATGTAGAAAATCTGGCCATCTCGTCGAATGCTCAGACTGGGAAAAATGTCGTTGTCCTTTTCTACCTCCACAGAGAGGAGATTCTTAAAGGGGGATAACTCTAATCACACTTTGGACACATGTATGTTTAGTAATTTTTAAAATTAGTTAATATATAATTTGGGATTTTATGATATAAATCTTATCAGTCCACAGTATTGGGGAAAAGTATGGAAAAATTGACTGAAATTATAAAACTTGTGGAAACTACACGTACACTGTCGGGTCTAAATAGTTTATACAGTTACAGACCTACTTTTTTGGAGTATGCATAGTTAATGATATTTTGTCTCGCAAACTCAGTTTATTAATTATCACACCCAATGTTTTAGGATTATCAGTTATTTCTTCCCTTTCTAATATTGACATTAAAGTTTTTATTTTATAAATTGTGAAAACGATCAGGAAAAGGGACTCCTCCTCTCCACAAAAAAAGACTGCACTGGAGAACTTCCCTATTATATTTAAATAAACATTATACAACTGTAAGAAAATCAATAAAACACGCACATTATTCTGTGCTAGGCTGCGAAGTCCTGGGAAAATCTAGTGGTCGATGGCCAATACTTCTCTCCAAAATTAACTTGACCTTACTCCGTTCCAGGGTTATTCAATTTTGCAAAGGGTTAGGAAGCGACACTGCGTAGAAGACATATTGACTGACCAATTCTTAGTAATCAGATACAATACTTTCAATTCAATTATTATTTTTAAACAATTAATAAATTGGGTTCTAGAAGCACAAAGGCACATTAATTTCCTAAATATTTCATGTACATCCTTTGCGTTTGCTAAAAAACAAATGTTTATATGTTAGAACCTTGATACTAGTAAGTTACTACATTTATTGCAACGGCTTCCAAGCATAGACATAAAACCAACTATTCAGGAAAATAATAACGCTCACATTATAGCATCCATAACATATATTTCCTATCATCTACCAATAGTTATTGCACCACACAGAGCCAAACAGTGCGGAGAGGAAACGATGCACACATATATATACTGCAAACACAACATTAGATTCTCTCAATATTTCCCCCATAGCCCAGTCTGGGTTTGTAGAAGTCCTGCTACGACTCACAAAGCATATCTTTCTACTTAACAAATGACCTTCTGTCTTGCTTGTCTGTGGCGGATGCGTTTTTGCGTTTGTTAGTAACACCGTTTCATGCCTTGCACGTCCAGCTGCGAGTCGTAAACACGTGTGATCACAGGCGAAGAGGTGAGAATGGCGGGGGCTTTTTTTTCCTTTACAACATTGGCTTCTGCCTTGAACGTTTTCAAAAAGATAAATACAACCATAAAAAATCTTGTTCTACGTTTCTGTGTTTTAGAGGAAGCTAATTAGAAAGCTAAAATAGTATATATGTAATTATTTATCCGAATGTCTTGGTTTAAATTCCAATGGAAAAAAAAATTTTATTTCGTGATTAAGACATTCCATAATTTTGTTTTAAAATTCCCCTTCTTGACTTTAAAATATCTACCTTATTTATCAAACAAACGAGTTTTAAAAAAGGTTTGTTTTATTTTGAACAATCTTCTATTAAAATTTTGACAATTTCAACAGTCTACAAAAGCAATTAAAAAAAAAATAACGGAACATTGAAACTGAAAAATATAATTTATGTTATCTTTATTAACGATGAAATAATTACATAATAAAAATATTCAATGATTCCTGCATAACACAAATTTTGCAGATATCTACCTTTTGAAAGAAGATATTAATCAAAGTATCACGCGAGTTCCAAATAAAGGGATTTCTCGCGACAATTTAAATTTATA